GAAAAAAAACATAATAAACAGTAGAGTGTTAATAAAATATAATATTAAGTCAAACAAAAATAATAATAAAATGTTATTCAAATGATACAGCACGATAACATTAACGATTTAATAAATCATGAAAGTAGAATTTTTAAATTATATTTAAGGAAAGAGTGGAGAAGCTAAGGATAAGGATGGCCGACCCAAAGTAGTTGGGATTAAGGCGAGGAAGAAGAAGAAGAAGAAGAAGAGTAGAGAAAGTTGATGATGGGGCAATGATATTTTTGTATTTAAAATAATACAGTAATGTTTAAAAACTTTTTATGAACATATTTTAAAATATATTAATCAAATAATGAAATTTTTATGAAAATAATTTAAATGAACACATACATTTCTTTTTAAAGAAACTTATACCTTTTTTTAAAAAACACTGTAATTTTGTTGAGTAGGGGATTTTTAGNTAAAAAACACTGTAATTTTGTTGAGTAGGGGATTTTTAGATAAAAATAAAATGGGCAAAGTTGTTTTTTTTTCATTATTTGTACTTGAAATTTCTATATATAAAATAATTAAATTATAATTAGTTGAACATGCTCAGTTACTGTAAAAATTAAATCTAAAATTATTCAGGAGAATATCTTAGAGGTCATTAGATCGATTTCCCTTTTTAAATATTTGTAATTACTCTATGGAGTAATTAAAAAATTGTATTATATATTAAACATTTCTTAAGGAACAGGATGTAACTCTTTCTTGGGGAATATATTTTTTTAGCATAACCTAAATATAACTAAGGTATGTCAACTTAACCTATGAACAAGGACGTTTTTTTTTTATTGACTGTAAGAACAAATAAATATTTAATAAAATGTATAGTAATTTAATATTAAAATTCAGCTATATATTTTTAGTTTAAACTATTTGCAACTAGTCAAATTTGATCTCTTAAAAATTTGTTTTTCAGGTATGCTGGTATTTGCTGTACTATTTAAAAAAAACTGACACAAAAATATTTCAATAATTACTGGACAAATTAATCATTGACATTGTCATTACACCTTGAAAAACCAATTTTTACATTTTTATAAATTCTTTTTTAATTTGTATTAAAACCTTTACTCGAAGGCAAAAAACAGTTTTAACATTAATGATCAAAAAAATAAAAACAATTTTAATGGTGAAGGAAGAAAAGTTTACTTAATTACACCCTCTGAACAATTTTCCTATAGCGCCTGTGTTTAATTTTTCAATGAAATTTTATTTTAATGTGCAAAACATATGCCCGTTAAAATAAAAAAAGGTGTATATATGCTTTTTTATTATTTTGTAAAAATAATTATATTTTTAGTTCTCCGAATAAAAATTCAGGATGGATTCTACCCATCCTGGCTATAGTCAGGTCGTATATGTACCAATATTCAAGAGTGTCAATTGCGAGTTGTGGTGTATACATTTGCGTACCTAAAATTATGTGTTATTAATTTAAAACCTAAAGTACAGCTTTCCTGGCTAAAGCCACTCAACATCTAAAAAAGAGATAAGAAACTCTCCACCATATTCCCAGTCATTTATCAAAACTTTCCGTTTCAAAACGTTTTTAAAGATTGAAAAGATGTTTAAACTCTTTCTGTACTTAAATTTCATTTTGAATAAAAATTATGTCAAAAAAATGTTTAGTATTTCTAGTATTGGTTACATACATTTCATTAATATCCATAAACTAAAAAAATTAGTTATAGCTATTTTAAAATACAAATCAATTCTGAATATGTGCTTTTTTTATAGTTACGTAATTTTGAAATATTTTTCAAAATTTCTAAAATGAATGGGGATTTTTACAATTTTTGAAACTCATAGGGTTTAACTATATTAATTTCAGTTTCTTTTGACGTATAAATCGTCTATATCGCCACAGTAAGAACTAAGTATTTTTATTGACAGACACGAAAAAATACATAATAATAAAATCGACAACTTCTCAGCTTTGATGCGAAGCTGAAAATTTTCGAATTGACTTCGAGAAAAACAAATATTTTCTATGCTATAACATAGAAAATATTATAAAATATATACGTAGAGTAGTTGTATACAACTGCTCTACGTGTTTTTTTCTAATAACTATAATTTGTACTAATTCACTATAAAATGAAGGTAAAAAAAAGATTAATATTTTGGATTTTTTTACACAACTGAGATAGCGAAATTGTTCTTGAACTTTAACTATTGTACTAAGTGATTATTTTTCATATTTAATTCAAATTATCTAAAAATGCATGAATTTCAAAACAAATGTACGACTTGACCTAATTGTGCACTGCTTGGAGCCGCGTCATAGTACATGAAAACATTTTTAAATAAAATATATAATATTTTTGTGTAATAAAACAATTCCATGCAATAAACATCATCTTAAAAAATACNAGAGGAAACGGCCGGGGCCGTTTTGGGGGGTATCCAGCTCAGACTTTATAGTTCTACTAAACTAAAATAATAATACCTACATAAAATACTTTTTAGGACATGTGATGAAATAATAGGAACATTTTTAATGAAAATGAACATCTTTTTTTAATCGTGTACACAACAATAAAAGTTAAATGAAAGTAAACATATAATATGTCATGTGTATCAAACCCGTACTCAACTTCATTCAGTAAATATTTTTAAGTATTAACACTTAAAAATCTGCTACTTATGGAGACAGGTAAATAATAGCACTTCCCCTGCAAATTTCTGAGTCACTCAAACCTACTTAATTGTTGTTTTATTTAGCTAAATCAACAACTAATACAACTAAGAAAATTGTATAACTTTTTTTCTTTTTAATTAGTCAAGTTAACATAGTTACCACTCCAAAATATATATAACTAAATATAATAAAAATTTATCACTTGTGGCTAATTAATTAAGTACAATTAAAACTTTATTAAAAATATTATTAATTTAAAAACTAAAAAATATTAAAATCAAAAGCCACAGAAAATTACAGAAAATATTTCGGAAACAATGTCGCCATTATCAATGCTAAACACATACTGAAGAAACTCCCTTATATACCCCTAGTGACCTTATCACTAAGTAATATTATCACATTTTGACAATTTACACAAGTTTAATAATGAATTTTTCAGTGGGCCAAGATCCCAATTAATTAAATTGTTTTTATTTTAAAACATTTCTATTGCCTCCCTAATATTAAGTTCTTTGTAATTATTTATGTTTTCAATAGTTTTATGATTTTAATGAAGTGATTATGTGTCAATAAATGTTCAGCCACTAGAGATTTCTCAAATTCTTCATTTTTAATGTTTCTTAAGTGCTCTTTAAACCTCACCCCTATATTTTTTTTGTTTGTCCTACGTAACATTTATTACAACTTTCACATTGTATTTTATAAATGCCTGATTTCCCCCTTCTTCTACCTTATCTTTAGGATTATCTAATAAATCTCTTAAATTATTATTCTTAGATGTTACTAAAATAATATTTTACTAAAGTAAGGGTTATATAAGGGAGTTTTTTCTAGTTGAGGTGTCAATATATGTTTAGCGTTGATAATGGTAACATTGATTCCGAAATAAGTATCTGTGACTTCAGTAATTTTTTGTTGTTTTTGAGTTTAATATTTTTAATATTTTTTAGTTTTTAAATTAATAATACTTTTAAAATAATTTTAATTTTATTTAGTATAAATATATAGTTTGAACAATTTGTATTCATTATATTTCTATTTAGCTATTATTTAATATAATATATTTACTATTGAAGCAATCACCGATTACATACAATGACGTGTCTAAAATTTTTAGGCATTTATACTCATTATTCTTATTAAATATATTTTGCAATTACCCATGCAATTGCCTAAACAGCACCACTTCAATTGTATAATCTACAAATACACTCCTGATCGTACACTTCGAAATTTCTTTAAAAATGGTCAACTTAAAAATATTTATTAACCGAGAATTAATCTTTCGTTGAGTTTTAAATTGAATACTAATTTAATAGACTATCTAGTAGAATAGTATGACTAAATCGAAAAGACAGGTATGGAAGGATAACGCGCTCGTATCTGATTGATACTCAAACTAAGAAACCATTTATTGTGTTTGTGATCAACCTAACAATGTTACTATATAAAAAGAAAAAAACCTCTTTTCCAAAAGAATCGTGATGGCTTTCATCAAGCTGTATAATCTAATAAATAAAATATGGTAGCACAGTAAGGTCGCAACACAGAATGGATGAGGCATAGTTGGGTCAAGTACAGAAGATATCTCACAATAATTAAAATCGCTATTATAAGAAACGCTTCGATTCAAATCTGTAGATAGTGTTTAATTTAAAAAAATTGGTAAATTATTCCATAATCAAAATGAACTCCTATTTCGTTAATTATACTCTGAAGACAAGTTTAATGATATATATATAAATATATTTAATAAATTTGTTCAACTTCGACATATATTGATCGATATTGATTGACGTCTAATAGTTATAACACATCAATCATTTATTCCTTAGGCGTTATTAAAAAAATAACATTTTAATAATTAATGTTTTAACAGTAATGTCACATAAATTTCTTATGACTCATAAAATATAATATTTAGTTGGAAGAAACCTGCTCTAACCTTTCTTTACTGAGAAACATTGGTTTCCCATACGCTCTGCCACTGACGGGTTAGTCTGCATATGAAGTCTCGTACGTGTATGTATAAATTTAATAACAAAAAATAACAAACAAGCCAATAACGTTAGTATAGTGGGGTCAATATGGGTTTTTTCGTTATTCTACGCGTCACAACTATGGTGGAAAATATTTAATAAGTGCAACAGCTGTTTCGTGGACTATTACTACCGACAACTACGAGTACTATAATTTCAATACTATTATCAGTTTACCGGTGATCTAGTCCGAATACGGTCACAGTTGACCAGCTCTTACCGACCGGCTCATTTGAATTCTGAAGTCCATTAAAATACAATAGAACGCTAGTCGCCGCGTCATTACCAATAATGTACGCGTGCAACGCCGCCGTGTTGTTTGTCCTATTCGCATTTAACTTATCCATTTTAACTGCAGCGCCATGGCCTGCTGATGATGATTCTATCGTTTTAATCACTGATGATAAACAACCATCAAAAGTCAACTTATCGGTACGTAATAATGTTCAACGATCATGTTAATTAAACAAAAAGTTCTAATATATTTGTTAGTTAAAATTCCATGGCAAACATCCAATTTAATAAAAAAAAATTTACATTTAAAGTATAAATTGTACGAGAATCTATATACTATATTTCTAGCTTAGTATCATCGACAAATTAATTACCATCCATTTTATTAGCTATTTTAAGCTAGATTTTCCACTTAATCAGCATCTATTAAAAGGTTTTCTTACTGTCCATTGAAGGCTTTACTATAAATATATTTTATGAATTAATATAATTCATAATCTTATTAGATTAATAACGCCCTGCTATTATTATCTTAACGTAGTTTCATAAGTAAAGTAGTTTAATATAATTAATTAGCCACTGTAAAATTCTTCAGAAAATATATTTTCAAAGTTCTAGGTCTTTTTTAAAGTTGAAAGACAAAACAATTATTCGTAAAAATCTGTTTCTAGCATATTTTTTCTGTTTAAAATATAATTTAATTGCTATAGCAAAATTACCATTCGTTACTTTAAAAAAATAATAAAAAGCAATTTAAAGAAACCTTGAGAATACAGCAGAAAATCCTTTAGATAAGTGGAACAATTAAAATTATAATTAAGTTATTTAAGAAAATATCTGATGAAATAAGTGCATTTATCCGCAGGCATAAAGTTATAAACAATGATCTTTATCTATGTGTTCCTAAATCCGGTTTTGAAACTGGAAAATGATATAACAATTTTATTTATTTTTGCGATGGAATCTTATAAATATTTTTCATGTTAAATATATAAGCTGACTAAAATTTAATTTAAATATTTACTACGTATTTTAGTGTCTAAATTTTCAATCAAAGTCAAGTATCTCACATTTTTAATATGTACTTGATTATTTATAATTATATATTTACATTATAGTTTTATATATCTGACAGAAGATTTCTGAAATAAATAATAATTATTTTTAACTTGATCCAATATTTGTAAAGAAATTTATATGTTTAAATACTCAAATCATGATAACCTCACTAAGGTTAACTTAATATTGTTTATACATCATGTAATTAATGTGTAATACTATTCTATTTACCAGTTAATGTCAGTGAAGTTTTGAGGGTATACGCAGCTCCAAGGCGTATACTCACTAACATTTTCCTAATTAACGTATACCCTAAAATAATAGTACTTATGTACTAATTATATATCAGTATATGTTCACAAATCAGAGTATACCGTAAATTCTTTTTTTCTGGTAAATACTTCTGGTATTGACTATGAAGTAGTTTATCATTTAATTATCTATAATTAATATAAAATAATATAAGGGACTTTCACTTCAAGACATTAGTAAGATTAGGATTACAAAGGCTCAACAAATCAATCTTGAAATCTCTAAAAAATTTTCACAATTAAAAATGTAAAAAAATGTTAATTTTAATATTTAAATTAAGTATATAACTTTTTTTTTAAATTACTATTTTACATAGATAGCTTACCTTAAATTAGGTAGTTCCAAAGCGCAGATCGCTACCATAAAATATCTATTTGATGATTTATTAACATAATTTTGTCGTAACTTAATATACAAAAAATAAGGCATTTTATTACTTTATTTCAATAAAACTATAAAGTTATTATTTTGGAAAAAAATTCTTATTCTACGAATGATATAAATTCTATTATTAAATTGCGTGTCTACAATTAAAGTGTGTCACCAAAATTGGGATCTTTTGATTATTAGTCTATTTTAACCAATATATAAAATATTCTTTTATTATGAAAATAATGTACCGTTAAAGATATTGAGTATATTTTTTTTATAAGTAATATTTATTCATTAGCTTAAATGGGAAATGAAAATTTAATTTTGCTCGCCTGAAAAGTAAGGAATTGGTTGATATGCCTCTTTAATTCTAGATTCTAGATATTTGGTATTCAATTGCATATTTCATTTATTTATTTATATATTTAATTATTTTACAACCCAAACTAATAAATTTATTATGTTTTCATTGTATAGTAAATCAAAAAATCAATAATGATTTTTAATGACTATTAGTAAATTTAAAACTAAAGACATTATTTGTATTCGTAAGAATGATAAATTCATTTATTTTTTTGATAGTGACATTCAAAATTTACCCTTATATTATTATTCATTTAGTATTTTTTCTAGATTTTATATTGTTTTTTATTTTTATTACAGTGCGTAATTTACATGAATTTTAATTCAAGAAAATAAAACGATTTTAATTAAATTCATTAGTTATAAGCCATTTTCACCTCAATTTTTTTTCTAGCCTCCATCTAAAGGTGACATCTACAGTTATGTTATACACTCGAGGATCAAGCATCGTTATGCCCAAACTACGGTTTCAAGTCGCGTGGCCAATAAAGGTAACACATCACAGGAAGTACAATTTTTCGTAACATTACCAGAAACTGCATTTATTTCCAAGTTTTTAATGTAAGTATAGTAAATTAAAAGATTCAGTAATTATTTTGGTATCTTTCATATAGACGAAACACACTAAAAGATATCATTAACTTTACCAAAGAATCTCGAATGATTTACTGTTAAACGATAGCTTATGAAAAATATGATCTTTGCGTTATTCTGTTATGATGGTAGTCAAATAAGTTCAATGTTTAATAAATAAGTTTTAATGTTGTCTCTTTATTATATATAATATGGTGTTACTATAATTAATTACTATTTTGGCTTAGATCTCATAACAAAACACACGACATTTAACGTACAATTCTTTTCCTTAGGGAAATCAATGAAAAAGTTTACGAGGCATATGTAAAGGAAAAAAAAGAAGCTAAAGAAGAATATATAGCAGCAGTGCACGCTGGACAAACGGCCGCTCATGTTGAACAAAAGTAAAAACGTTTAATAAATAGTTTCAACATTCAAGATTGTACATATTATACATATTTACTTAAATTATAAATAATTCTGTTTAGTGCTAGAGATTCCAATAAATTTACAGTATCTGTAAACGTAGAAGCTGAAAAAAAAGTAACTTTTAATCTGACTTATGATCAGTTTTTGCCGAGAAAGATGGGTGTCTACAGCAATATCATTAATATACAACCTGGACAGGTAATTAATTCTTTTTAAAATAACAATGACTATTTTTATTGTAATCAATTTAATTGAAATAATATTTAAAATGTTTAAAATCGTCCTGATTCAAATTTTCTTTTGTTTTCTATATTTCTTAGGTAGTGAAAAATCTAAAAGTTATTGTTGATATCGAAGAAGCTTCAAACATAACCACACTAGAAGTTCCTAATATTAAAACGACTAATGAAATTGAAACGAAAGTAACCAGTAAGTTAATAAAATTCTCATTTGTTTTCTCGTGTTAGCTGTGAATAATACCGCGTGATTTATATTTTCTAAGAACACTTATTTGCAAATAATTAAAATATTGTCTTTTGAGGAATGACGAAATGCATAAATTTTCCATCTGTTATAAATTTTACGAATTATAATGTAATTTATGGTTTGTAGAAAACGAATTGGCACAAATCACTCGCACATCGGGCAACTCAACAACGATAACATGGAGTCCGTCAGTAAAAGAACAATTAACGTTTTCTGAACAAGGTGTTATAGGTCAATTCATAGTCCAATACGACGTTGATCATAAGTCTACACCAAACCAAGTCCTTGTAATTATTTATACGCATTTAGATAAAACAAACATTACGAAATTCACCGCTCTGTTTCGTAGTCCCATTTTAATTTAAAGTAATTGGTTTCTTATAAAAAAAAGCTTAGCTATGTATATTTTTGTACAAACGATTAAACCAATTAACATTTACTAGTAGTGCTTAAACGTAATCAAAGACTAATATTTGATACGTTACATTTATATTTAAATAGAAATATAACTTGACAATCATTAACTTTTCATTACATCAAATAAAATTCATATTTGTTTTGTTTAAAATTTACACCTTTAACAATATTTATAAAAAAAAAAAAATTGATAATAAAATTTTAGTAAACAGTGAGTCGTCACTGAGTGTCAAAAATACATATTTTGGATTTACATCGTTTCTCAAATAAATGATTCATTTTAGTGTAATTTATAATATCTGGATCTAAATATCTAAAAATATTTTTGTAAAGAGTTTACTTTACTCGAAACAAAAGCTATTTTTATTATTAAGGTGAAATAAATAACTTTTCTAAAAAATATTTACTCCTGTATTCGCCAATTTGGATAAAATTTCTTTAAAAATAATCCAATACTTTCGTGTATAATTTCAATTATTTTAACTTTTAAAACGTGTCAATTGCTTATGTTTTATCTATTTAAGAAATAGTCAGAACAATTTCGAAAAAATAAATAAAAATTTTTATAGTTATAATATAAATGAAAGTACAAATATTAATTTGTTATGTCAAGATTGACGATGGATATTTCGTGCATTTCTTTACACCAACTGATTTGAAACCTCTAAGAACTCACGTCATATTCGTTTTGGATGTCAGTGGTTCAATGCACGGTCAAAAATTGCCTCAGGTTAAGGACGCAATGGAACAAATTTTATCCGAAATACTTCCTGAAGACTTTTTTACTATAATATTGTTCTCAGATTTTGCACAGGTATACAAACAGAAAATTAGTTCATAAAAAATGCCCTAAAATAATTTACTTTACAATTATATGTGACTTGTATTTCCAATAGAGATAAAAACTAATTTTATTTTAATATATGAAATAACACAATTATTGCACACTCGAATGAATTCTTACATAGGTTTGGACTTTAAATGCTACCCAAGTTACGTCTACGCGTTGGGATGATATGGGCGTTAAACAAGAAGTAAATTCATCCTTGGCAGCAATTAGTGAAAGCCGTTTTGTTTTCCCAGCAACCACAGAGAATATAGAATCCGCAAAGAAATTTATTAAAGATCTAACGCCAGAGAGTAGTAAGAAAATATCTTTATGATTTTAATCCGATGATGTAACGCAAAAATAAATTTAACAATTAAATATATTCCATTAGGTACTAATATGGAAGACGCTCTCACTAAAGCTATTGCTATAGCCAAAATGGGAGAAACGAAGTTTGAAGTTGGTTCAAATGCACCAAAACCTATAATAGTATTCCTTACCGACGGTGAACCAACGACTGGTATAACAGATTCACAGGAACTCGTCAAATACGTTTCAAACTTGCGGTCGTACCTTGAAAAGTAATACTTACAAATTACTTTTAAATTTCCGCGCGTTTTTAAGTATATTAATCATCCATACGTCATACAAAAATCGAGCAAGAATATATATTCTTAACATGAATCTAGCCTTACTCGATAAAACAGTATCATGAATTATAAACAATATATACATATATTTTTCAGATATCCCATATTCAGTTTAGGATTTGGAGAAGGTGCGGATATGGATTTTCTCAAAAAATTATCACTAAACAATTCGGGTTTCGCAAGGACTATTTATGAGGCTTCAGATGCTTCGTTGCAATTGAGGAACTTTTACAAAGAAATATCATCACCAGTGTTGTCTAACGTTACTTTTAAATATATTGACGCACAAGTAATAATTTTAATAATTAAATAAAATATTTAATAGCAATAAAAAAAAATTACATTTTACAAATTATTCATCATAATGTGCTATATAGGTAGATAATCGTACAGTTACTAAACAAATATTCAACTTATTATTCCGTGGCACTGAATTAGTTGTAGCTGGTGCTTTAAGGGACCACAATGAAAATTTTAACAGTACCTTAAATGCCGATTCAATTGATGGAAATTTCACAGATTCTGGTATTAGTATCTGCCCCATTGGACCTTGGTGGAATCAACCCAAGAATGTGACAATTACCACCCAAGTGGGTTAGTACACTTACTTTCAAAAAAAATTTGATATTAAATTCGAACTCAATATTAAATTTAATGTAATGTCATCAGGTCATTTAGAAAAGTTATGGGCATACTTACACATACAACAATTGTTGGATGAATATGATCTAAATAAGAATGAAAATTCTTCTGCTAAAGCTAAAGCCCTTGAGTTAGCACTTAAGGTAAATCTTTACAATCATTATTTAAAAATACACATGCATTAAACATTTTATTAATTTTAATTAATATTAAGAATATATTTTTTGTAACTAGTATTCATTTGTCACACCTTTAACATCTTTGGTGGTCGTTAAACCTAATGATACAACTACATCCGCAGAACCTCAAAAAATTAGACCCACGCAGTCATCTAGCTATAATAATTGTAAGTAGTTATTTATAAAAAAAAAAAGAATTACAATTTAATAAAAAAAACTATTGTTAATACATTTGTTTTTATTGAACTTAAAAATTAAAGATTATTAAATGAAAATTTAGAAAAACTTTGGACCTGAATTTATTTTTTCAATTTATAAAACCTTTCTCTCTTTAGATTCCTCATCCAAAATAAATTCTCGTTGCCATAAAACAATCTAATGTTTCTTTTTACAACTCCCCTTTAATTCTCACCAATGTGTTTTTAAAACATTTTTTTTTAATATAAGTTACAATAGTTAAGACTTGTATTTTATATTTTAGTGCTCTATTCTTCAATGGCCCTTCCAGCAATGACAGTACACCGTGGTCCAATATCTTTGAAAAGTTAGTATTCCAAAGTAAAATAAATTATTTTAATATAGTAAACTCTTTTTTTCTTACAAAAAATATTGTTTTATGATGACCAGTTGGTAAACCTTCAGCCACTCAATCATATGGTTCAAGTGCTAATATTCAACAAGCAGAAGAAGAAGAACCTGACACTCTTACCAAAATCGAAATTGAACCTCAAATAAATGAAACATCAGAAAAATCATTAACTTTGCACTCCTTAAGTGAACTGACATGGTTAAATGGAACTAATAGTAATCAACCAAATATTACAATAAGTGCAACAAATACCACATATCAAGTATTATTGAATACGGTAAGATAAATATTATACAGAAAATAACTTATGAAATTAATTTTTACATTTATTTATTATTTTTTTTAGACTGATCAGTCTTATCAAAACTGCACCACGCCAGACAACACTGCAGGTAGTTGTAAACATTTAAAAGACTGTGCAATTTCAACAATTCTGGATTCGTTTGATAACTATGTATCACTATTTTGTTTAATAGAAAATACGTAAGTAAATTCTACATCTTTACGCAGTAGTCTGTTTAAAATCAATTTTATGAATAGGCCAGATAAAACTTTCTTAATTATCTCCAAATAATAATTGATTAAGTAATTTAAATATATATATGATAAAATATTCAAACAAAAAATGTTACACAATTACAATTTATGCTCCACCAGAATTTCGATTCTTCGACAGTGTAAAAAAAAACTTCTAGAAAATTACATATTTAAATAGGTATATATATAATGTATAGATCAAAGTTATGATCAACTAATTACAGTCTAAATAATACCTATTCTATAGTAATAGCTCATCACTTATGGCTAATATTAGTTTAAATTTAAGTATAAATTTAAAACTAAAAAAAGATGTGTCAGTATAATAGTAACATTGAGCTGATAATGGTAACATATTTTAATATTTTTATGACTTTTCAGTCAATTATTTTTTATTTTTAATATAGTTTTAACATTAAATAACTTTTATTCTGACTGATAATGTATGCCTTTGATAATGTAATAAAATCGGAACACAGGACTACTCTCATTATTCGATTAATTATATTACTTCTAAAAAACGTATACAATACTGATTGTAAGTGATTATGAAGAAAAAATAGTTCTTTATTAAGTATTTCAAATAATTTTAAAAAATAAGCAAATTTAAATTATTATTCATTGCTATACATTCATATGTATTTTTTATAGATATTTTGTGCAATATTTAAATAATTGATTAAAGGTTTTAATAAATGACAATAAATTATTAATGATAATAAATAATTACCCTTTAACGAGATTCATGCGACTTGTAAATACTCGTAATGTTGATATTTTTATTTGTAATTCTGTTATCTCTTAATGTATACTTAAATAATTTATTCTACTATAATCATAATACCGAATAATTGCGCTTATCTGTAGGCTATGTAAAATTGTTATTGGGCATCGCCCATTTGAAATTTTAAAAAAAAAGAATAATTAATGTAATAATTTTACTTAAATTTATACATTTGATAATTTATATTAACTAATCAATAAACTTTATCCATTTTGTCTTGTTTTAGCTATGCTGGCATTTGCTGTACAATTTAAACTTAAGAGTTTTGATAATTAATAGAAAAATAAAAGAAAGTCTTACAAGTCATATAAGTTATTTAACTGGATTTTTAATTAATTAACATATACTTTACACATTTTTTATGCATTGTCTATATTTTATGTATCATTATTTTTAATAAATGTGATTAATATTTTTTTTAATTTTTTCATTTTTTTGATGAACCAAAACCTGAAAATCCCATTAAAGCTGCCATTTCATCATTATGGGGGTCTTCATCAAGTTCATCATGTTTCCGTTTTTTCTCCTTTTTCTTTTCTTTCCTATATTCCTTTAATTTTTCTTCCTACAATTAACAGATAAAAGATAAAATATATTTTGTATAAAACAATTTTATTTAAATAATTACTTCTTCTTTTAACTCTCTTAGACGTTGTTCCAAATCATAATCTTTTTTTTTTTCTTCCATTTTTTTTTTATTTATTTCAAAACGTTTCTTTACTTGGTCCAAAGATGACCTTTCTATTTTCATTGACATTCCTAAATTTCTTTGATCTAAAATTAATGAATAATAAAAATCATAATTAAAAAATTAATAAAATATTTTTATTAGAATATTAACACCAAATGGCCATTACAAACAAATTGAAGTGAATTAATATAATAAAATTAATTTTCTAGAAAGTGATAATACACTTAAAACAATACAAAAATTCACACTAATAATAGTTAAACAATAACTCTGAAAATAACAATTACATGTAAATAAATAGTAGGTAATAATAACTATAAGATAAGCATAAATAAGTGAACATGATTAAGTTTCAACAAAGGTCTTCAAGATTTAATGATTTGAGAATTCTAAGTAAAGTATAATTATTATTATAAGAAATAGAGTGAGCAAGAATATAAAAAACATATTGATTTCTGATGCTTTGAGAAGAAACTTTAAATGTAACACATGAGAGAAGATCAGAAGCATCAAATGAATTATTAAGGACAGCATACATAAATTGAGCATCAGCTTTAATATTACAGTAAATTAATGAAGGAATATTTTAAATATAACAAATAGTGAAATAGTCATGTTATGGTGGCAATAATTTATGATTAAAAACTGCATAGGATAAAATGCTATGCTAAATCACTAAAGACATAACTAATCCTTAGCAACATTAGGATTTCAAATAAACAGTGTTGGTAAAATCTCTTTTTAAACAAAACATATTCTATTCCTCGTTCACTTCCTAAAAAAGGAGCATTCCAGATCCTCATTACATTTTCTAAAATAAACACGCGCCAGATCGAGTTCCTTTAGAAAAAGAACTCGTTTTGCTATATATTCCTTTTTTTGTAAAAATAATAAACAAAAACCTACTATTATTATATTAATATTACAGTTTATTATTAGGTATTAATATTATAAATTATTATTAAGTTATATTTAATATTAAGTTGCCATAATATTTTGATTTTAGAATTCCCTAACTTTTCAAATGTTTTCTAGAAGGGAAGCCAAAAACAAAAAAACAATCCATTAAATGAATCTCCTTTATAATGTAACTGGATACCATTAGAATTTAAGGATGAACTACAATGAACTGTAGTAGGAATTGAAGAGTTTTGATTAAGTTAATAAAAATATTTTCAGAAATCATGTGGCGAAAGAGTCTCATAAATGCCTAATAGTATACTTTAGGAATAAACTTTGCACTTAGCACTTAATTAAGAAAATTTATGATAGTCACTAGGGAAAGATACTTTTAAATACAAGGTAGTTCTGTTTTTACTGAAAAATTGAGTTTTAAACTCATTAGAAACCTAATATTTAATCAAATATTTATTTACGTCTTCACTAAAATTAATTCATGAAAATATTATGTAGGGATAGATATTAATGTAAATTGAAAGATAAAATAATTTCCCTAGGATTTAAATAAAATTGTTGAAAAAAAAAAAACGTTTTACACATATTTTGTAGCAATAATATCTAATTTTCAAATGATAAACCAACAGATTTTATTTTATTGAAGTTTTGATTTATATATTTAGTAACTTAAATAATAAATTGATATTATCTAGCTGAAAATTTATTTCAAATAACGTGTTACACAATATATCTGATTTCAAAACTTCTATGAAAAAGATGGGTTTTACATATAGAGTTATTTGTTAAATGCATGAACTGAGGTCTTGATTAGTCAGTTTTATTGTGATAACAAAAGTAAAAAAGTAAAAACTTAGCATGACATTAAATAGTTTTCAAAAAATGGTGGGACTTCAGTCCCTGTAGACACAAATATCTTGTTACACCTATGAACATGAGTATTAAAAAATAAATAGTTCTATTAACTTACGTTTTTTCCCATTAATGTGATCCAAAAAATTAATTGAATCTTTTACAACACAATCACAGACATTACAGTAATACCTGAAAAAAATGTTCAAAAAATTTATATTTTTTTTATACTTATAAAAATATATATTCAAAAAGATAACATGTTAAGATGCATAAACATAGTGACATATAAAATTTGCCAATTCAAGTAAGTAGTTTGATATTGATTAAAAAATTATTTGATATTGAACATGAGAAATAAATAGATGTATAAAGACATATCTGCCTGTAGATTATAATTCCATACTATGATTCTTTTATTAAGCCAATGTCTAGTTAAAAAAACCTATAAAAGTGTGCCTTTGATTCTATTAATAAAATAATTCCACTAAGACTTACCCTCCACTTTGTGATGAAGGTGTAGCTTTAGTAATTACCACACTTTTTCCTAGTTTAGAATCTAAATCCACACGATAATCTCGTTGTTTCAACATTTCCCTTTTAATAGGTGAAATATCCTTGGAATCGTCTTCTAAATCATCCATAAGCCTTTTTCGGGCCATTTTTTCGTATTCTTCTCTGTCCCATTTTCGACGATGATCCTGAATATTAATATTATTTTTAATGATTTAATGTAATAATTAAGAACATTTCATCAATACTTACACTACCAGAAGCCATTCTGAACAAATTGATTGTTTATGTAGAAATAATTTTCAAATTACTTAATAAGCTATATTTTTACGTTTATTAATCTATATTTAAACGATTTAACAAAATGAATGTGATGGATTAAAATATATTTTAATTTGAAATTTAAAAATTATAGGACAATGTTTAATTTTATGATAACATTATTTATTTATTAACTTGATTACATTATTGCTTTATCGAGTTTTATTTGAACTGATAACACAAATTTAAATATCTAGTTGATAACAAACCCACGAGGGTTGCACTGGTAGATAAATAGGGAAAAGGAGAATTTTAAGTAAATCTTAGTGAGGATAGTTAAGCTGTATTTTTTGTTACAACTTTCCAATTTACTTTTCAATTTTATAAAAGTAAATAATTTAGATTTATTGTATAGTTTTAAAAAATGTCAAGACCGGAACACTTGGCGCCTCCAGAAATAGTAAGTTTTACTGTAATACTTATAATTTCTTTAATATTTTATTATAAAATAATTACTTATTCGTGTTCAATAAACATACAATACATGTATATTTATAGTTCTATAATGATGATGAAGCTAGGAAGTATACACAAAAGTAAATATATTTACTATTCTTTTTACTAAATTTATTGTACTTATATTTATTTTAAATAAAATTTAGTTCTAGAATGATAAACATTCAACTAGAAATGGCAAGTAGGTGCTTGGAATTGTTAATGTTGCCTGAAAATCAGCCTTGTTTGCTATTAGATTTAGGCTGTGGGTCAGGATTAAGCGGTAGTGTTGCAGAAGAATCAGGGCATATCTGGTTCGGAATGGATATCTCTGAATCTATGTTAAGTAAGCTGAATTAATCAATTTTTTTTTATTTATGTAATTACTTTTTATTAAATAGTTAATTTATTTTAATAATAAATAATATACAAATTATTATTTATGTTAAAAGATATGCAAGGTAATTAGTAAAATTATTTAAAATTATAAATATTATTTTTCATGTAGAGATTGCTAAAGACAGAGAAGTTGAAGGAGATTTATTGTTAGGTGATATAGGAAATGGTGTTCCTTTTCAACCTGGTACTTTTGATGGTGCATATAGTGTTAGTACTTTACAATGGCTATGTAACGCTGATAAATCATCACATAAGCCAGCTAAAAGACTTCATACATTATTTTCTACGCTACTTGCTAGTTTAGTATGTAATTATGTCAATATAATATTATTATTTAAATTTGTTTATTGTAATATTTATTTTTAATGTTATTTTATTATTTGTTTATAATGGTGTTGATCCAAACATTATTTTATTGTATAATGATGTTAAAATTGTGACTTTATAAAATAAATTTCAACTAAATTCACTAAAAACTAGTTTTTTAAACCATTTATCTTACTACCATGTACAAACTTAATATTTTAAAAACCAATAATACTATATGGTTTTACCATTTTACTATAAATTATTTTATTTTATAGGTCCTGTAAACTAATTTCAAAGATCTTATAAATCTAAGTTTCATACTTTTATAAATTATTTTTTTATTACAATTATTTTTTTAAATAAAATACAATATTCTGTTCATAGGGTAGAAGTGCTAGAGCTGTTTTTCAGTTTTATCCTGAAAATGTTCATCAAACTGATTTAGTTGTTACTCAAGCAAGGAAAGCAGGATTTTTTGGAGGCTTATTAGTTGATTTCCCAGAGAGTACTAAAGCAAAAAAATACTTTTTAGTTTTAATGACTGGTGGAGCTATGCCTATGCCTGCTGCACTTAGTTCAGATAATTCACAAGTCAATTTTACTTCTAAACGGTGATTTATAGAAAAAAAAAATGTATTGAACTTAATTTTTACTAATATGTTTATTTTAGAGAAAATATGACTCGAGGGCGTGCATCTAAATTAACAAAAAAAAGTAGAGAATGGATCCTTGAAAAGAAAGAAAGAAGAAGGCGGCAAGGTAAAACAACTCGAGAAGATACAAAATATACTGGACGATCAAGAAGTGGACGATTTTAACTATCTTATTATTAAATATTGTTTAATATCTATTAATGTTATTATTATCTACTCTTTAGAGAAATTTTAATTTTTTATAATTTAAACTATATAAAATTAAAGGAATTGCTCATTAATAATATAGTACTGAATTATTACAAGGCTAATTAGGAACACTATAAATTGCAAAATATGTATTTCTACTGTTCATTACCACAATTTGTCAGATATGATAGGAATACCTTCTATTATTCACATTAATATTGGGCTATGTTTACATACAACTGACAACTATATTTACTCAAATGATAAACTCAAAACATTAAAAATTAAACTTTTCATATGGTGCTTAAATATACATCAATTTTAGTTCAGTTATTAATCCATTTTATTCAGTAAAGTTTCTAATTGATAATAAATATAAAATTACTACTATGAAATCTACAAATTTGGAAATCTTAATCTTAGCATGTTCAGTAGTAAGTAATTTAATTATGAAATAACTTGGTACTTTATCAATGAAATAAACAATGTAATACATAAGAGTTTCTTTTATTTTATTCTGGAGCTTACTTAATTACATTTCTTTAGTTAAACTTACAAGAGCTGGTACTATATTTAATTGAATAAGTATTATTTTGTAGAATTAATTCAAGGAAATTAACAAAAATCATAATTTCACTTTTGAATAGAACTTTTCAAAAAATATTGTATTCGTTTCAAATTTTCACAATAAAAATCATTAATTTTCATTTATTTGTTAACTACTTGAAAAAACAAGGAGTAATTATTGTGGGTTGATACTCGAAACAATTCGTACAATTTTAGATATATCAACCTTACTAACCCAGAAACTTAAAATAAAAATATCTAATAAATGTAAGAATTAATATATTTAATTATACCTAAAACGGAAGATGTATTTAGAGCACAACAAAAAATATGAGTCACAAATTTTGGATGGAAATAAAAAAAATATTTGTGAGACCGAAATTATTAAAATTAATAATAATATAAATAAAACGATGGTACCTATATTGGCTTGTAAATTCATTTTCAATATCTATCAAAATAAATAAAAAATAGTTTTTTTCAATCAAATGTAGAATTTGTTTCATTCTACATTCTTTATGTGAAAATGGGGTATTCGTACATTTAACTCTTCTTGAATTAACAATCCGTCCTTTCCAAATACTGATATTATCAGTAATGCCTTATTTTATCAAGTAAAGTTTCATAATTTTTTTATTTCTAGACTTCGTGCTACTCGTTGTATGGTTATCTTTTTGGTAATGCGCTCCCTGTTGCCCCAGCTAATATGCACTATGAAACAATTGATCAAATTAACAGAAATCGTAATCCTGGCTCATATCAAATAATGTCGCTTGGAGATGCTCTATTAAGTGGTAGATTTCAGATCAGTTCTCCACGAAGTGTTGGTAATAAATATAGTAATCAGATAATAAATCTTAATTTTGGGACGAAATGTCTAATTTTACTTCTACTATTAAAGTTTATAAAAAAAAAAATTTAATAACTGATAACTTTTCTGGTTAGCGGAGACAAAATGATTTTATCATTTAACAAAGTCCCCTTTGCCATATACAAGGAACCTGATTAAATATAAACGACATAAGAAGACCCTTTGTAAACTAGGGTCTTCATATATATATATATATATCTGTAATATTTAAAAATATTACAGACCTAAAATTTTTAAGACTAGGATTCTAGTTAACTGCTTCAGTTGCATTCCTCTTCTGTCGGCGCTGATGTATTAATTCCTAATGTATATGATGATGGTTATAACTTATAAGCAAACATTTATTTACTTATTATTAACATTAAATAGCCCAAAAATTACAGTGTATATTATAAACATGATCAAAATTTAAATCTTTAAGTAGAATAGCTAAATGACTAGATTAAATATGATAAGAGTGCAATAAATCACGGTTATTATTTACTATTCAATTTATATTAATATTATTGTTTAACAGATACTAAACCTAGTCCGACCAACAAACTTAAAAAACTAGCATCAAGCAAGAAACCTGATGTTTTATCTACAGGTCTTGATTTGATCGAAGATCTTGGTCCTTACGCGCCTTTAATGTTTAAAGTGGGATCTATGTTTGTACCCGGCCTTAATAATTATCAAATAATAATGATGGCAGCAAAAGCAGCCTCACTCACAGCTAAAGCAATTAAAGATTTAAAAAACGGAGATTCGGTTTCAGAAGTTGGTAAAAACGTCCTTTATGACTCTCTAAAAGTTGCTTTGGTATGTGTACAAAACTTAAACATCATAAATTTATCAGCACGTATTTTATATTAAAATGTATATACATATTTACATAAAATTAGATACATTCTTTTAGGTATCGATATAAATAAATTTTATTGGTTTTTTTGATTTTATAAATGTTTCATTTTGAATAATATATCGTTTGCTAATACTATTTGGGTTACAGAGTAAGCGAGAATTTGGCATTGAAAGTGTTGGAAATGCTGTAAAAAAGCCTTATTTATCCGTTAAAAATTGGATAACGGGTTCTAATTCAGGTGAACACAAAGAAAAGTCACAGAATGATAATGATGGCGCAAATAAAAACGAAATCGCCATTAATAACGTAGGTTCTATTAAAATTAAAATATTAAACAAATATGTTGATACGATCCACGGTCGTAAATGTAAAAAAAAGTAACTAAAGATAAAATAATTATATTTTGTTTTCCATGTATTTATTTTAAAAGTAGTCGTTGGTATTAGACTAAATTTGAGAACAATATTGATTTTTGATATTAACTATTTTTAACAATGGAAAATGATTACACTACTATAACGGATTTTTAATTTACAGAAAACTCGTTTAGACAAAATGTCGGGAGAAGAGTTTTTGGAACGACTTACATTAATACAAGACAAGTTACCAAATCCTAAATCCGTCGATATAGAGAACGGTTTTGAAAAATTGGTAGAAGCTTTGGATCTTGATCCTGACGTTTCAAAAGAAACAAAAAATAGTTTGGTAAAAGCATTATCTATCACTACTCGATTCTTTATCGCAAGAGCTATGCAACCTACTATTATTAGTATGTTATAATTATAAAATACTATTAGTGTAATCATAATTTTATTATGTTATATATAAATCTAATAACTCTAAATTTTCATTTGATAAATCTTGCCTACATCCAATTTATCCTTTTCATTTAGTAATTATTTATTTTCATTAGCGGGAATAATTTTTTTAATTAAAAAAATTAAACAGTCATAAATTATGTATTCCATATTGATGTTATGTTGTGTGTTTTTATCGACTTTACCTGTAGTGTATTTCAAAGGAATGTATTGTGAGTCAAAACAACTCATACATATTAGGACCATCATGATAAGTGCAAATAAAGTTGTGATTTTCAAATTATATGTAATACTAACAGTGTGCCTGTAAAATTTTAAACATAATAATGTCAATAGTAATACCAATTATGTCAACAACTAACAATCAAAAATTGATAAATGTAGTAAATAGTTTTGTTTATTGACTAAGTAACGCAACAAATTTTATTTTATTTTTTCAAATTTAATTAATGAAATATTAACAGACGTATTTTTTATTTACTATAGAAAACTATTAACTTCGATCATACTGTACGTTAGTACTGTACTGTTGGTAGTGCCCCAACATAGACACAAAAGTTTTACACAAATTAATTAATGTTTTTATATATATATATTGACGACGAGTTCGTCGTTCTCGAGTCCTCCCGTTGGATAAACTGATCAGCCCCAATCTCTCAAATTAGTGAACTATTAAAGGGGTAGATTTTAGACCCGTCAGCACAGTCTAGCTCAAAAGTAGCAGACTGAAGGGTGGCTCCTTGCCAGCCACCAGCACAACTACCTTTTTACTATACCCACTAAGGGATGGTTAAGCCCAAAAACTAGCCAGCACGTAGACTAATTATTAAGATTGACTAAAGGACCAGTAGTCCAACCTCGACTCTTGCCGCACACACACAAATTTTGATATCACGACGGATATAAAGTATTTACTCTCAAGTACAGATTTTAAAATAATTATTTTATTTATTTAAAGTAAAAACACAAAGTCAAATATTATATAAAAATTTAACAAAAAATTAATTAAATCTTACAAAAATACAAAGTTACTCGCACACCGACGACCTAACCCATAACTCGACGTTTTTTCGTCAAAACGTCCAGTCTCGTCTAGCCCCGTCCCTCTATACTTTTCATGTTTCCCTTTTATATTCTTTTTCCCACCACTATTAATTTGCTTACCCTGCATTTCCCTTTTATATGGAATTATTATATTGCTTAAGAGTTCAAAAATTGCTTACTACTATTGTAAAGTTTATATTATACTAAAATCGACGTAATTCAATACTTCCTCAGCTAATTACTACAATACTATATGTAAAATGTCTACAGTAATAACATTTTTATCGAAATTTCAGATGATATATAAAAAACTTAAAGTAGTAAAAAAATATAAAGGTCCCACCGAGATTTGAACTCGGATCGCTGGATTCAGAGTCCAGAGTGCTAACCATTACACCATGGGACCAACATGCTTTAAGGACCAAAAATTATATTTCTTTAAATAAATGTAAAAATTAGGTATTAAACAATTAATTCACACGATAAAAAATATTTTTTAAAAAAATCATATATTCTATAGCGTTTTAAATATTTGGATAAACAGTCAATATATTTTTGTTATTTTGATAATTTATCACTAAACTAATGTCTAAAGTATTTTTTCCAGACGCGTATTTTGAATTTTTTCTGTGGAGAGGACAGTCATGGATACATGGGGGAGTGTTGATCATATGACCCCTTTAAATTTACTAATATTTTCTATAAAAGGTCATGTTTTTAAAAAATAATTCAAACGCTAACAGAAATCGTGAAACTTGTCCCTTTAAAAAAATGTCGTTTGTATCGACAACTGAAAGGTTAATATGAGTAATTTTGTCTCATCCCACTAAGTTAGATAAATTAAAACAAAAATACCAATCGATATTTCTGGTCAAAGGAAGCTTTGTACCTAAACCCGATTTAAAACTTCAAGTCATTTATAAATGAACAATAAAATAACTGTTTAATGTAATTTTAGGCAAATAAAAGATCTCATTTCAAGTTGTTATATTAAAATTTGCCATTAGAATAGCTCCTAATTACGAAGGCCTACTAAAATATTTTTTAGTAATTCGCTAAAGTAATCTGACTATGCTCTGAGCAAAAAAAACAAAATCTCTTCTCTGTAAAAATGCCCTAAGACGTTAAGATGTACTATTCTAACTTGATTGAACTTTTACAGATAAAAATNCCTAAGACGTTAAGATATACTATTCTAACTTGATTGAACTTTTACAGATAAAAATAATGTACATTATTTAAAAAATTGAATATTCAATTAAAAAAGTCACTATTATCACGACAATAGTGACTTTTGCACAGAAGTATTAAATAATTTATAAAAAAACTTTTTCATTTCTCCCTTTTGAAAAAATAGTGACCACATAATTTATTTAAGATTTTAATAATAGGGTTACTAACATGGCCCTTAAGGATATTGTCACAAATATCCAGTAAAAGATAAAAATGCAAAAAAGTTAAGGTCCCACCGAGATTTGAACTCGGATCGCTGGATTCAGAGTCCAGAGTGCTAACCATTACACCATGGGACCACCACGTCGTCCCGAGTGCTTGCAAACATATTTAAGGCAAATATGTATAAATATTTTATAATCTCAAAATGTAAATCAGCCATCAACAATTATTTTTTAAAATAATATTATTTTCTATGAATTATCTAATCATTATTATATAAATTTGTTTAAATCTAACCACATTTGGAAATGTTAAATATTTGGTTGGGTTATTCTGATTATTTTAAAAATCGTTACAATATATTCATGTAAATATTTAATAAAACTAAATAAATATATGGTTATATTCAATATTATTAATAAAATTTAAATAATTTAACCTATGTAAAAGTATCGAAATTAACATAACATATCACTAAGTATGTTACAAAACAAACTCTTAGACAACGATGTAGTAATTATAACGATCACAAGACTTCTAAAGAAATAAATATTATTTTAATTTTAACATTCAAAAATAGGTTATTAAAATGGGCCCCATGTTAATAACCTGTTATTAATATAAATTGGTGGTGGCAAGGGGAGCTCCTTATCAATGAAAAATATGCAATCCTCCAAAAAGTGGTTTTTTTAAAAGTAGTATATTATACTATTTTTATCTAAAATAAAATAACTATATATTGTTTCAAAATTTAAAAATATATTTTACATTATAAGAACTTTTTATTTTAGTACACTTACTTCGTGAAGTTTATTTTAAAAAAGGTCTTGTCTACCTCAAGATTTTATCAAATGGGCACCGATGGATATTTCCTAAAATGATCACTACAATACGATTAGATGTTTTTTCAAACATTATATGTTAAACTATCTAAAATAAAATTCTGTTTTCCTGCGCTTCTTGTTCCATAACTAGATTTTATTGAAACTGTCTAATTTTTGCCTTGTCGCTTAATCAAATCTAAAATATTTTGATATACGAGCATAACTAGTCCCTAGAAAAACGTGACTTATAAAAACCAAGGGCATTATCCATACATACATATTGAACCACTAAAAATATTATAATTTCTCACGAAAAATAACTATGAAAACTAAAAATAAATTATCCAACAAGTTCAACAAATAGCAAGAATTTTTTTTTAACTTCTAATAAGAAATGGCCTAGAAGGTTTTAAATAAGGGTCATATCCCACTTATAACACCATAAAACATAACACAAGCATTAAAAAACAATCAAAATAAATGTATCATCAAAAATCTGCAGTCATAACATGCATCATAAAAATTATACTTTAGTAAATATTTGAAAATGATAAGGAATTCTGTGGTTATTTTCTATAAGTTGTTTAAGATTTCAATTTTAGCATTTTTTAANACAAGCATTAAAAAACAATCAAAATAAATGTATCATCAAAAATCTGCAGTCATAACATGCATCATAAAAATTATACTTTAGTATAATTCGCGTAAATATTTGAAAATGATAAGGAATTCTGTGGTTATTTTCTATAAGTTGTCTAAGATTTCAATTTTAGCATTTTTTAGATCAATAACAATGTTGAAATTTCAATGATGTTTTATGGAAATTGACATTTTAAAGTAAAAAAAATAAACCTCATCATTCAAATTTAATCCTAAATTTTTGAGACATAGAAATACATTATTCCTTTTACATATGATAAAATTTTTTTATAAAATCCATTTTTATGTCATATCAGCTTTTGGATAGGAAAAACAGAAACTATAAATAAAATTTTTTCATTGGTTAAATTAGTTTTAGTCAATTTTGATATTAATAATAATTTTTAATTTAATATATACAGGCAATTATTTAAATATTTATAATAATTAACTATTGGTATCGTTTAAATTCAAATTGTCTGTTTAAATTTTCTATAGATAATTTTAATTTATCATCAGTTTTATCTTGAAGCATATATGAATTGTTGGAATTAATGGGACAAAATAAATAAATGGAATTTGGTATTAATGTGAGCTTCATTGGTTTAACTTCATAATCTTCATTATCAATTGAAAGCCATTTATCTTCCTAAAAAGTATTTTTATAAATTAATCATAAATCAAATAAAAATGTAAGAACATTACATAAGTATGAGGTGACAATATTATTTCTTTGGCTTCTTTTGTTAAGTAATTTATTATGCCACCAGACTTTCCGATAAATTTTTGATATCCTTCTTTAACAAAATCACTATATAAAATCTCTTCTGGTCCGATATTAATTTTAAGTGATGGATGAGGTCCAACATTCAAATTAATACTAACATTCAAAGATCTGATGGATTGTTTTTCATAAATATTACATTCTGGATTTATTACTTTTGAATAATCTTTTACAACTGGAAGAAATAATAGTTTTTTATAATTATCTCATTATAAAGGAATTTAATAAATATACCTTTACCAGAATGTGATTTAAATGTAAAAAATGAAGCAATATAAGAAAATATAGATAGTGTATTATTTGAAGGACTTGATTTTCTGTAGCAAGTACTACAACCATCACATGGTGGACTATACTCTAACTCAGCATCAATTGTTTGGTTTAATAATTTATTGCCAAATACAAATGGTGCTAAATCTCTGAATTTACCAATATACCAATAACTATCTCGTGTTACTTTAGCTTCTCTCATAGCACCCCATTCAATACTATTTAATGCATATACACATTTTTCAGGATTTTTGCTCTAGTAAAATAAAATTTTTGCATTATATGATTTTACTAAATTGTTTATAATTTGAAAATTATAAGCTAACTTGTAGATTTTCAATTTTAATAACTGGATAGGGGGTAGTAGCTTCTTGAATAATAGTTATTGTTGCATTAGCAAGAAAGTGAATATAATTTTCATCATCAGGATGTAGTAATTGTTTAGCAATAGTGTTTGTACGACCAAGGGGTAAAATTCCAATAGGTAAATGAACTGTTAAAGACGTATCACCTTTTAAACGCCTCAATAATCCAGTTACAACCTAAAAATAGCTATGTATTTTAAATAATCATTTAAATTATTAAATGTATAAAGAAATAAGGAAATATTTTATAACTAAAAATAATAATAATAAATAAATTATTAGAATATTTTACTTAAAAAATAACTTTAAATCTCTGATTTTTTCATTCAATTAAATTTACTTTTTTATAATATATTATTTAATAAAAATTTTTTTTAACACTTTATAATTCCATTAAGAGCTGTAACAGCCTTTTCTAAAGGAGGAGGTTTCTTAACCATTGATACTTCGGAATGGATGATTAGTCTGTTACAGAGAAGAAGGATGACAACTACATTAACCAAATTGTACTCTCACTCGGCAAATAAAATCTATGACTGAGTTTTGAACCTTAGGCATAACACGTCAAACATTGCCATATTACAGACTAGGCCACACTACAAAATATAAATATCTTGTCTATTTCTTGGCTAACTAACTCTAATTATTCTTTACGGATATAGTTAAATACAATATTTAATGTTTTTAAAAATAAAAAAATGTACCTCAGATAAAGTACCATCACCTCCAGCTACAATTAGAAGATCAGTTTCACCAATTAAATTTTCTACTAAACTCCTAGCACCTCCTTCACATTCAGTAACTAAAACATTTACCGAATATCCTGCCAAATGAAGTAATGGAGAACAGTATTTTTCAAAATTTTTTGTAGCTGATCTAAAGAATTTATGAAAATGGAAAAACAAAAAATACTATAATTAAATTTTAATAAAACAGTACCTTTTATTAGCTGCAGGGTTTAAAATCACTGTAACCTTTTTTGGTTTTTTATCAGAAGATATTAGAGTATCTCCGTATAATGATACTTTTTTACAGCATTCTGTCATGAAAATTCGAGTCCTATTATATTGAATAAGATGCAAGTTTTAATAAACAAAATATTATAATAGTATGTGGTCGAAAATTTCTTAATATTTAAATTTACATACTCGTATTCATTATAAGCATATTGACTACCATACGCTAACACAGCACTAAAAAAAATAGATTTTTTCCAATTATTTTTAATTGTTTTTAATACTCGAAAGACTTTAGCCATTTTAAAAGATTTTTTCTGCAGTCAATAATGTGTAGTAAGTAAATAATGTCTGAGTAAAATTTAAATTTTTCACATTCTTCTGTCATTTATGTTCAGTGATTTTCATATCATAGTTATCAAAAATTATAAAACGATAATATTGATATCACTTAAGAATGGTTATATCACAGATAAAGCTTATCTATTCTGTAGTTATACTATATACATAAATAAATTCATGGACTGCATGTACCTATATAGCTGTGTATTAGCGAGCATGTCATTCTGGTCATTTAACTCTATACTGTAGACAAACTTAATGCAAATAAAACAATATCTTAAATATTCATCACAATTGACAAAATAATTGAATGTGATTTGAGGACAGCTGATGTGAGCGTATATGATGTGGAAAATCGTGTCAAGTGGAAGTTTAAGATAAGGGTGGCCGACCCCAAGAAGTTGGGATTAAGGCGAGGAAGAAGAAGAATTGACAAAATAATAAGTTTATCATAATTAATATTTTCAATAGCATCTATTAGTCGTGAGGTTATTAGATAACAATAATTCAATGGCCATATACGTTTCACGTAGTGCAAACAGTTATAATTATTAAAGTAAAATACTTTTATTGTTTTTAGGCGTGTAGGGTTTTCAGTAAGTAAGGAAACAGGTTTCTTTTATTCTCATTGTAACAAATTCTCCCTTACTGAACACTGTATAATTTGTAAATTAATATTTTTCTATTTATCCTTGTCTTGTATTTATTAATATATAGTACAGACCAAAATAAAAAGAGATAATTTTATTTTAACAAAATGTTCTACTTTATTCACCATGTTATATGTTTAAAACAACATTTATATTATAAGTGCAAAATGGCTATTTTGAAAATTTGAAAAAATATTTTATTGCTGATGATAAAGAATAAAAATTATGCTTTAAATAGTTTAAGGCAATAATAATAAAAAAAATTTTATCAAAAATTATTAGTCAATTAGATCTGGTTCAACCTAAATATATGTATTAGTTTAATACTCTATAATTATAAATTATAAATGTACTGTAGTTTTATAAAAAATTAAAATTCACAAAAATACCTTAGGTATTGAAAAATCGGGAGATTACAATCTTTTATTATGATTATTTGTAAATTTTACTTTTATGTTATATTTTACATAATACCTATCACTTAAATAATTAATTATATTAAGTAATAGGAAAGTAAGCAAAAAAAAATGTTTTCGTGTAAAAAAATTATTATAATACGTAAATAATTACAATTTCATACTAATTAACAATTTTAATTAAATAACAATATCTACTTAGTAAGAAAAATGTGAACTTTTTCACATATCGAATGGTGTTTTGAAAGGCACAATATAGACAAATAAAAAACAATTATTAAATATAATATACAAATCAATTAGTGCTTCAAACAACAAATAAAACTAAGTTTTTATTCCACATAAATTTTACACAATAAAAGTAGTCTGTTTTACATTTATATATTTTTTAATAATTTAAGTTACAAAAATTACAAAAAAAACACTTATAGCTACAAGTAGTTAGAGTAATAGGGATATTATTTGAATTTTTTATTTGATGTTATACTCAATATTTACAGAGATTATATGATAGATTATTAATAATACTGTTTTTTTGCACAAGTAGGAGTATAAAATTTAACCAATGAATAACAAAATTAATGGAAAACTTTAAAAATTGTATCGTTTTGATTACTTGAGACGATAATTTGGTAAAAATAACTTCACACATATCGACATATAAATTTACACATATAATTATAATTATTTACTGTTAATCTAAAATAAACATAAAAGACAGTCTTGGAAATGTAATGTGTTAGTAAAAATAAATACTAATAATTATAACATAATTTAAAACAATAAATTTAACTAATAATACAATTTTACAAAAAATTAACAATGCATAATAATTGTGAATTTCATTAACAGTTTTGATCACATATTTGCACATAAAAATATTTATAAAAATATATATTTGTAATTATAATTTAAGCTAAACATATTTAATCAGGATGTTTATCGATATTTTGGAAGAACCAATGAGTGAAATGTTTTAATTGTTGAGCAGCACTATTTGACTCATCTTGTAGCCTCCGATTTTCTTCACGTAAATGTTTAACCTCATTTTGAAGTTCCATACGCATTTCCATTTCACTACGTAACATAATTTCTAGATCTTCTGGACTCATGTTTGTTCTATAATACAATATTTATTGAAAAATAAATAAATTTTTATCATTTGTAATATATTCTTAGGTAATAATTAGGGTTCATATCTTTATATATTTATAAAAAATTTTGGACTACTTCCAAGACATCCTGTATTCTGAAAATGTATGATAGGCATATAAAGTACCACAGGAACATTTTTTGTTTTAGGAGAGTTAACCTTCCATGCTCTTTAATTAAATTCTTAATTAACATACATTGTTTAGCGTTAAGAAAAACAAACACTAATATCAATTTATCATTGATGTATTTATAATATACTTTATAAATGTATAAAATGTAGAACCCAAGTAGTAATTTATATTCCAAATAATACAACAATCTATGAAAGCTTTAATCATTCAAATTAATATTTTACTTGTTAGTGCTTGGGATATTTGTTATCATTCCATTTGTATTCTTCCAATACTGACCTCTTTCTTCATCAGAAGGTTTTATTTGACCTCCTGCTGATACCTTTCGTAATGCTTCTGTAGCAGTATCAACTAAAATTTTCCAGTTCATTCGGTCAATTGGAGTATCCGGAAGTGGTAAATCAGGAACACTAGTTAAATTTACAATTATTTTTTTGTTGATCTTTAATTTGTCATATTAAATAATCATGATAATTATTTTATCAATATCAGAAATAAAAATTTACCTTTCTATTTGATTTATTGGTTTCATTTCACTTAAAGCTGGGCTTGGAGCACTGGATATAACAGTAGCTGGCCGAGCTTTAGTTAAAATTACTTGACTTTGTTCAACATTAGTTTCGTTTTCTCTAGATTGGTTATTACTAGGAGAGTTATTATCCTAAAATATGTAAATATATTGGATTAGTATGAAATGTTTTTTTTTTATTTGAACCTATTAATAATAAATACCATAAATGATGCCTCTAAATTATAATCAAGGTCAATTAACTTCATTAAATCTTCTTGCAAAGTACTCATATTTCCACTAAGGCGACTACTAGTATTTGAATTACGTCCAGATACACCAGGCCTTAATCTTGGTTCACCTCGATCTACACGAGGACTTTGATTTCGACTGCAGTTATTTTTTAAAATTTTACGATGACTATGAGGAGATCCAGTGCTACTACTTCCAATAGTAGAAACATCATCTAGAATTGTTAATAAGTTAATCAAATTAATTCTAAAAACTAATTTTCACTATCGATAATAGTTAAACTAAATATAAACGAAAATATAGCTGAATTTATTGGAATTAAGTTATATTTACCTTCACTAGCTGCTAAAAGTTTTTCATTTAATATCTCTGGTATGTTTCCATTACTTAAATTCCTTTTAAAATTATTACTATCAATTAAACCGTTAGTACTTTCTAAGTCTATTCCATTAGTTGCCTGAAAAATTCAAAATATTTAAATTATCAATAAATATTTATGATCAAACATTTTTTTTAGACTTTATTACTTTTGCCAAACGTTTCATAGATCTTCTAGGTTCAGATCGTTCTTCAAATTGTCTTTGGAGATCATTATGTTCAGAACTTTTACTAATTAAATCATATTGCTGAATGATATTTTTATTATTACGTGGTTCAGAGTACACAGAAAAGGAATTGTTTAATGTAGATAAGGGTAACGAATTGCTTGCATGTACTTTAGTATGAGTCTTATTAGGTGTTGGTGTTAATCGAGTAGGAACAGGTGGAGGATCTTCTAATAATACTTCAGGTAAATCATACCATCGATCATCAGAAGAGTGACCACTTGAAGAACTAGTTAGTGTACCCTAAAAAAATCAGATTATAGAATTAAGGTGATAAAACCAGTGAATGAACACTACCAGTCAACAAACATCACTCAGTTTTTAACTATAAAATTATCCAATTTGATTGTAATAAATCGATGTTAGTAGTTTTTATAACAGAGAAAATATCTAAATTTAGTCCTATCACAATATTGCAATTTTTTATATAATATCTAACAGTAGCTAATTCAAAAATAGCTAATTCAAAAATAGCTAATAAAAATTCAAATTTTTAATATATAATTATGAATTAAAATTTTTGGGTTAGTTAATTTTAAATACTTTTTCATTATTACTATACAGAAAATAAATATTTAATAGTTTGATTAGTATAACATAAAAATATAAATTAATAAAGAACTTAAAAAGATGAAAAACTGCTCATTTACTGGTGAAGTTACTCTATTTAAAAAATGACTTAAACAAACTACATTTGTTTACATGAGTAAAAAAATTACCTCTGGGTTTTGTGGAAAACGATTATCTAGTGGTGTTGTATAAGATTTGTTGCTGCCCATGGTACCATAGCCAGAACTATTACTAGATCTTGGTGGAGATAAGCTACGTTCATACCTATAATGATAATATTTTTATAAAATAAAGTATAAATGCAGCTAAAAAAATAAAATAAATACATTTTGCGGTGGTTTCCAGTAACAGGTTGTTGAAGAGCAATTTGTTTTCTAGGACTTTTAACTGCTGTTATACCTGTAACATTTTCATATTCAATTTCATATCCTTTTGGTGAGCTACTATTATCGACACTATAAGAACAATTTTGAATATGACAACCCCTAATAAAAAATTAACAAGTATTAGAATAAAAAGTTAAATATTAACAAAAAGGAAATTTTAATAATTAATTAATTTAAAATAGGATTTTTTTAATTGTTAAAAAACATACTTTCGAGGGGAACCATCTGAAAGAGGTGGAATAACGGTTACAGTTACTAGAACACTTGTTTTTAAAAGATCAACCATTTGATCATGAGTTAATGTTGCAACAGCTATTTTGCATATCTATATAAAAATAGTTTACACAATTATTTATACTAAAATGTTATAAATAATATTATTTACCTCTATAAGTCTAGAATTTTGTCTTAAACCCGCTTCCCAAGCCAACCCTGATTTCTCTACTTGAGTAACTAAGCCATCTGGTTGAACATGAAAACCAAGTTGACCTAAAGAGTTACGATGTAATGATAATTCTTGAGCAACAGAACCTTTAGTAACTGCACGCAATCGTACTACAACTTCCATTAACTCATCACGATCACCATCACTATAACCTTCATGCATGTGCAGTGTAACACATTCACCCTCATGATAATAAATTCGGAGGCTATGTTAAATTAAAATTAAAATAAATAGTTTTCAAAAATTTTATTTATTAATTTATATTTTTGTAATAAATAATTAAGATATTAACCTATTAGTTTGTGTAGTCCAGCCTAAAATAGATTGGCAAGGTACAACTAACAATATGTCATGACTATGTTCTTCAATCAAAACCATAGAATCTGACGATATAGCTAAAAGACAGTGGGCACCAATACCTCCATTCCCTTCTTCTAATACTACTTGCCAACAAATCGCTCCTCTTTGTGATGCATCAGGTTGAAACCTTGGTCGCCATCTTTCTTTCTTCTTACTACTGAATGATAGCATTGCTAAAATTGAATAATAAATTAAAATTTATAAACAATAAATTGCTTATACAACTTACAAAACTTTTGAATAGGTTCTATGGTAGTGTTTGAAGAATGATTTAATGTTAAATCTTTAAGATATTCTTGTCTAGTACGAGTAGCCATAGTAGCAAATTTTTCTGATCTATGTGCTGCATTTTCAGCATTTATAACTAAAAAATAATCATTTATTTAAGAAATATGCATATAATAAACAAATATACTAAATTACTTTTAGCTAATAAGAAGCTACTAAATGCCTTTGATTTTTTAAATACAGCTTCTGAAGGAATAGGAGGACCAAACATTTCAACTTCTTTTGACCGTGTCACAGCAATACTAGTTAGAATAAAAACAAAATTTTTTATTTCATTTTCATCAGTATAATTACTAGGTATTAAATTAAAAATTATTTTTTAATTAAAGTTTCAGTATATTTAAAAATAAATATTACCTGTATTGTGTGTTTTCTGTACATGGATTAATTACTCTAACTACAATAAATACATGTTGAAATTGAGAACGTATATTTTTAGGAGAAAATGGTTGAGCACCAGGTTCTTGAAATACAATTGTAACAATATCATTTCCAATATGCCTCTTTCTAAGAAGCTGTAACAATATTTAGATAATTTTCAAAACTTAATTATTTTTAAAAGATTTTTTTAAAAATTTTACTTGTTGTCTATTATTTGGTGTGAAAGGTAACATTGTGGACACATGGAACATTATTTCTCGATTTTGATATTGACTATAAAAAGAATAGAGTCCAGTAGAATCAGCTGAAAAATATTACAATAAATATTAATGAATTATTTATAACAAATATCTTAAATTAACTTAATAACCCTACTCTTATTGTCTAATCCTGCTCTGTATTTGTTAAAACCTTTTAGACGCACTCGTTGAGCAATACTATCCATAAACTGGTAAAATGCCAAGCCAGCTTCTTCATTATTGTACATATGTTCTTCTGTGTATTGTCCAGCACGACAATACATCACTCCTACTTTATAAGTATGAGAAATTCCTTGTTCATCAAGCCCTAACAAGAGTTCTTCTACTCTATTAGTTGTTCCACCCAACCTTAAACTAAAATATGAATGCTTTTAATTAAAGGTATCATAAATAATAAATTCAAAATAATACCACAGATAACCAAAAATGATCTTTTTTAACAAACATAATCATCTGAATTATAGACCCGATTCAACAAAATTATACCCCAGTATATTACTATTACTCATGACTTATTATAAATGAAAACTAAAATAATACTTTTGTATCCTTAGAAAAAAGAACTTTATGGAGATATATGGTATAACTTCTATAATAGTTTAAGTGATTTTACCAAGGAAGAGGGATTTCTGGTACAACGTATTCAAGAACTTCTTTAGTATTTATATGTTTAGAACTATTAGATGGTTTGATACTTGGAATGGCATCTTCAAGAATAGAGCCCCGTAATGTTTGTAACTAAATGAAAATTAAGTATTAAAAGTTTAAAATGTTTAATCTTTATTAAATGTGAATAAAAAGATATTTACCTCACTAGTTCGTATAATGATTCTATACCTAAATAGAACTGAAGGACTTGAACTACAACCATTTACCGTCGTATCCATTTCAACTTTCTCTCTTTTTAAGCTAATTGCCACTGGTCCTAAAGTATCATCCATCCCAAACCAATTATGATGTTCTAAAAAAATTATTTTAGAAAATCTAAATTAGAATATAAATTTATTTATGTATTGCAAAAATAAAAATCAATAAGTTAAGTAATATAATAAATAGTTTTAATTCAAATTAATATACAGTATAAATAATTAAATACCTTGGCCATAAAAATATTTTCTATAATATAGATCACCATCATCTGTTGTCTCTATAAGTCTTGAATAATTTTCAGGACAAATTCCTTCAGTCCAATGGGTTTCTCCAGGAGGATATTCAAGAACTGATACCCCATAGGCCATACGTGGCTTGTGATATAATTTTCCATTATTTAAAGTTGAAACTTGTCCAGCTTGGGTTCTTTGAGTAAGACTAACTTCCCGTTCACCCTCACCTCCAAGCTCATTTCGGAAAAAAGGGCAGCTAAAATTAAACAATCATAAAATAAAATATATTTTTTAAATCACACATTTATAAATAATTTATACCTATCAATTAAACTATTGTGTTTCCCATCACCAAGATCATCTTCAACACTATCTGGCGTTGAAGATCGAGCAGCTAACATTGAAGCAGCTGATGCACCAGTAGCAGTATTGCGTCTTCTAGATAACATAGTTTGTAGTTTGCGTGCTAATCCTACAGTAGCTGTTAGTGATTGAACATCATAATGAGCAAATCCCCTTCGTTTCTGCCTATCATCAGATCCAAACTCATTACAATTTGTACCTATGTTGGAATTGGAAGATGCTAAAGTTGTGTCATCAGTTGTTCTAGAAAACTTGTTATTTGCTCCCCAAAATTTATGGAATTTTAATTTAAGTTTTGGACTTGAATTTCCTTGGGTTGAAGATTTATCTAAATGAGAAGGTGGAACAATGTGGTCATCAGGCGGAGTATCAACTGGCATCTCTCTATATCTGATTTCACGGTCGTTACCTAAAAATGTAATATTAATTTATTAACAAATAGGTAATTTTCTTAAAAACTTTTTATATTGGTCTAAATTTGGTAAAAATTCTTACCGTCAATCATATCTAAAACAGTAGGACGATAATCTTGGAGCATTGCAAAAAAATGTTCACCATTTGTTAAACAACCATTTGAATTACGGTCAGAAGCAGCAATCACATCGATAGATCCATGGCTACCATACTCTCGTTTCAGCATTGGACTTATGATAGAACGTTCATTAGATTGAGATTCAATATATTGTGTACTTCCTCCAAAATGGGGATAGTCTGCGTGGGTAAGTTCGAGACTAGAATTACTGCGATAGAGCGGGTCTTGGGCAGACCTTTGTCGTGATGATGACGACAGTCCGGCACCAGTTCGCGCTCGCAGTAAATTGCTGTTGTAGTAATCCATTGGTACTGCATGTTGTCGTGCCGCACTAGAGCCATTTCTAGTGCCTTCTAACCCTATCATCTCAATCCACTAAAAATATAAAATAAAAAAATTAATTTACAGAAAAAATTTTAAATCACAAACAAAATCTTATCAGTAATAGTTTTTCGTTAAATGATAAACAGTGTAAAATATATCTTTGTTTAAGTTATCTTTTGCTCCACATTTTTATACTTAACTATTCTTAAACAATAAACGTTAATANTAAGTTATCTTTTGCTCCACATTTTTATACTCAACTATTCTTAAACGATAAACGTTAATTTTCTACTCAAGATTTACCATTTATATGTTAATTAAATATTTTCAAGTGAACTTGCCAACAAATTCATTATATTTTATATTATTAATAAAATCATTAAACAGAAGATTTTTTTAAATATGATAAACTTAGCAAATAGCGTAACAAAAATGTATAAATCTAAACAATTTTTTATTACTAAGATTATTTACGAAATTCATCAATCTTCAAGATTATAGCGGAAACATAATTTTGATATCTGAATGAAGTATTAAACCACTAAAAAAATAACAATAAAAAACCACTTTAAATATATATAAAAGTACAATTAAGTCAAGATATTTTATGAGTATAGGTTAACGTAAGAAGGTTGCAAACAAAAATTATACCGATTTTATTATTTTTCATATACTATTGGAGGCACGTACAATCATGATAGGCGCGCGAAACGACCTTCATCAGGAACCGCAAGTCGAAACCTGTGTTATAGTGTGACACAATATTGCTTATTTCTATTACAATACTAAAATTAAGATGAATATTTTTAGCTTATCTAATAAACTATATAGTTTTTGTATCTGTGAGAAATGTAATTGTTGTATATGATTTTTTTAATAATTAGTATTCTCCATTATTAATAATAGGGAAGTTTATTAATAAGGAATTATTTTAAAGAATTGTACGTCATAGTGTTATGATCTCATAACACTATGAGTTTTTTTAAAAAAAAAAATACAAACGAAGAGCAAAGAGATAGAATAGTTAATTTCATTTTCTTAATTGAACTTTAAAATCTGCTAACTTTTTTATTACAGGGTAATGTTTAAAAAAAATGAACTTAATATGGTCCTCAGTGTCAATACAACTCATGATTTTAACTCTCCGATTGGCATAATCGAATTATTAAAACACTATGTGGGTATGTAATTGTAACTTGAGATTTCAAATTTGTCAAACGATTGTTACTTTTTCAAACTTATCTTTGAATTGTGATTTATGAAAACGTTTAGTCCAAAACAAAATAATACATAGCGTTATTTATAAATAAACTAAACATTTAAATCATCATACGACTATTTTCAAAAGTAAACGATGCGTTTATATCTCAAAACATTTTTATTAAGAAAAGTGATTTTTAAAAAAAGGGTGACTAAAACCCTTTTATAAAAAACGATTTATTTAATCATTACGTACATTTAATTTAAATAATGTTTGAGATCAATTCATTGAAAGGTAATAAATTTTCACTCATTAATACCAGAATAAATATTTTACTGCATTCTAAGACTATAATGCATTCCAAAAGTCAAAATTTACATTTGATATTGACGTTATCTCAAAAAAAGTAAATTTTATCCCCTAACAATTTTATAGTTTGTCGGGTGCTGCATGCAACCGAACACTCCATTGGAATGTTAAAGAAGAAAATAATGCCATTTTTAAGGGTCACTCGCGGGTCTCAATAACAGACATCCTGCGGGGCAATAAAAGTTGGAATGTCGTCAACTAATGCTACTGCTACCACCGCTGGGATAAATATATAAGCGACTGTGGTGGTGTACTCTTTTTTGTCCTATTCCATAGACCATCTGCCGTCTATCCTCAAATATCTTTCGTTGTCGCAATATATTCTACTCGAATATGTGTTTTGATTACGATTTAATTGAGTGGAATAACCGCGAGATTTTAAAGTCACAATGGAAATTCTTTTCGAAAAGTATGCGAAGAAAAATATCATGCATCAAAAATAAATGTGTTACACGTTGCGGAGATTCACAGAGTAACGTTCATTGATGGCACAATACTTATAATAATTAATAATAATAATAAGTTACGAGGAAAATATACAATTAAAAATAACGGCACATTTGTATAAGGAAAAATAAAAAAAATTATTTACGTCTATTTGCTGTGATATAACGCAACTGGAACTGCTAATTGAAAGTAATGCGCTATTATAGAACGTGTACGGTACTATTTTTTATTGAGAAAAATAGACGAACAAAAATGTTTCCTATGTACTATACAATGATTAACTATATTAAAATAATTAAATATTGGATTTAAAAATATATTAATAATTATTAATATATTATTATAATAATATATGAAAAATATAAAAACCTCGACATAAATTTTTAATTAATACACTTATATAACTAAAACTAAGACATAAAATTGAACAATTCTAAATTTTCAACAGCGTAATGAAGAAATGGTAAAAAAAGTTACGCTACTCATTGCTATGCTTGTTTAGAAATAGAATCGAGCTAGTTTAATTTATAAATAAACATAAATACTACTGGTCATGAAACTGAAATCTACATTAAGTAGAAAGTCAAACAAATATTCAATAATCGAGTCCACCTTGCTCACATCCTACACATATTCGTATTGAGATAGTAGAAATATAATAGAATTATATGTAATTTCGACGCCCATTTTTTTAAAAAGCAATGTAATGATGTAACTCTATATAATTGAAGTCTAACAATAATCGTAACTGAATCTTTGAGTTATGTTGTATTAATTTAAATTAATTGAATGAAATACACGAACTATATTAAAATAAACATGAAAATCATACACTCTAAGCGGAAGTCATACATTGAAAAATTAAAATAAAAACAATTCGGTAGAAATAAGTAATATGTATCTTGTCAGAAACGATTCTGTTTTTAGATAAAAACAGAATTCAATTTTATGTGGAAATTTAGACGCTCAAAACATTTGTTGGTTACTTCAATGCATTGAAGAAATAAAGTCGTAAACAAAATTATTTATGTAATGTTGTAACATAAATATGTAATTTTAAGGATACCAGAGTACAATTTACTAAGACGTAGAGTCCAAGTAAAATGTGTCGTTCAACAAAAGCGTTTTTCAAAATAATCGATATGACAATAACTTTGCTAATTACTCCACTATACTAATTAGCTATTGGTCTTGTTTGTTTAAGTAAATATTCTTACTGTGGGCGTGATCACGGCCATATCCGTCGACGGAAACACAATACAGTAATTTCATGCCTATTATCAATAGTTAGAAGCACAGTCGCAATGTTTGCATACGTTAACGAGTTATGGTTTTAGAGTAATAACGTAGCGCGATAATATCTTAAAAATCGCCTTCTAGGTTGATGCAAAACTTAAATCCATAGAAAAAATAGTGTATGTATTTTCTCTAAAGTAAGTCACATTATTTGTGTTCAGAATACATAAGATAGAAAGAGGGAGAAGAAAAAACAATAATACGAAGAAACGTGTCACAGACATCGTGATACTGATTCCACGAGTAGTATCAACTATGACCCGAATTAACAATTTATTCTTAACGTTTTTTTATTTTAAGTTATAAATATATACTGGCTTTTTTAAGAAGGTTAACTCAAGCACGATAAGTGACGACTTAAAATGTTATAACATTTCTACATTATCATCACAAAACACAGAGACAACTATAAACAAATGAGACTTAATAATGAGTTGGGAACGCTTATTTCACTTGTTTATAATGAGATAATAGTAAAGACAAACTTAAATACTACGGTGCACTCTCCGGATACTTGATTGTTAAATAAAAATTTATTCATTACATAATTGTACTACAAAAATGTAAAACTCTACTTTTCTGTGCAAACCCAGCCGTTGACGATTATATTATTTTTAAACGGTAAACTCATAATTGTTGTCCGAAAATTATGATGCAGCATCGATGAGAGACCAAGAATTTTAATACGTCAGAGGTCATGAATGGTCTTGGAATCACCGATGACTAGTTATTTTTTACTATTTAAAAAATTATGTTTTTCTAATTACTATCTTTTTTTTTATTTATTCTAATTTTGTTTTTAAAACAAGGACTAAAATTATTCCGTTCTAAAAAATGTAATAATACTAGAAAAGTGAACATAATAATAAATAATTTAATTTTAACGCGACTAAGCTTTAAAGTTACATGTAATATAATAATCATATTATTTTTTTACTTATATATTTGTTTTGATTTTTTAACTAAACCTTGATTATTTTTTATTTTGAATTACTAATTCGCTAATATGTAAATAAAATATGACGTACTTCAAGAGAAGAAAACATATCTCAAGTACTTGATAAACAGAGAATTGAATATAAGTAATTATATATTACATTATAAGTTTTCATTAACATGTAATAAAAAAAGGTTAGTAAAAATACTTTCTGAACTTCGAGATGAAATTTTAAATTTCATTTAAACAAATTTAGTATTAAAATATAAATTGTTTGTAAAATAAATTTACAGTCTTAAAATGGCCGAAGTAGGAAATCGACTTCACACTACTAATCAATAAGAATACTTCAACCAGGGCGTACAAAAAAGGGAGGTTTTCCGGGAACTTTTGAACATTCTTTCCCTTATCGATGAAAGCAAACACACTAATATTACGTTATTAGAAAAACTAACACTAGAACTATAAGCTGTTTTTAACCTATGTCAGTAAAAAAAAACACGTATCTGTATTATGCTCTTAATCAGAAGGATATTATTTAAATTAAGAAAAGATTGCAGATTCCTTTTACAATTAAAAATATGTAGTAAAGCTACAATTTTGTAGTAATATATAAACATTTTCAGACTATATAACGTCTATGAACAAAATTAAAATAAAATCATGGTCTGACTTAAGCTCGAATTAAAAAAATTAAACCATAAAAACAAAGCAATGTAAAATTAATACTTTTTTAGTTTTGCATAAAAATTAAAATATGACTATTTTAATAAAAATTCATACCATATTCTCACAATCTTG